GGCATCGATGCGAATCGGCTGGCCAATACACTTAGCCAGCATAGTGATGGAATCACAGTCATAAAGGTGAGGTAGGAAGTCAGGAAGGCGGCACCACACGGGGACAACAGACGTCTCCGTCTTCAGGTTGAACCCGGATGTGTACTTGAATACCCTAGCTGGGCATCCACATACCTGAAGCGAGGTCTTAAGCCATACCTCATTATAATCCTCGGGGAGATGAAAGGAGACTAGAAGATGATTGAAGTTATACCACTTATATGAAACTCTACCCTTAAAGCCTAATTTGCCTAATCCAGCAGAAAGATCTCGGGGGAGAGGGATAGCATAGGTAAACTTAAAAAACCAGGGTGTTAGCTAACTTACCGGCAAGGGTGTCAGCTTCGGCTTGAGTGAATTGGACCTTCACCTTGTTTCCCTCCGAACGGATAATGGTCCCGCAAGGGCGCTCATAGTCCCCGTCAAATATGAATTCTTTGGCCGTCGAACGCGGGGAATCCGGTCTGCCATTTTGCCTCCCCGTAATAGCCTCCCGGAAAGAAAGTGCCCCATTGGATGTGGCCGGAATAAGCCCGGTTGCAGCGGGGTTAGCCCTTGTTGCCCGTCGGTCGTGTCCCATTCGGGGAAGGACCGGAAAATAGAGTCGCGGCAGTCTTGCTTGGGCCCGTAACGACAACACCGTCTTCACGCACATAAATGATGTCCGGTGTGCAGTCTCCGGTATCAGGGTTGGGTATTCCAGCAATTTGATCGATCGGAGAAGGAGAGGTTGGCCGGGTCCCGCGAATTTCAGTCGAAGAACACAATTCCCAGACTCTGCTGGATTGCCGGAAATATGCCGGCCGATGGACTGGGGGTGTTCGGAGCCGGCGCCGGGGAAGGTGACGCTGGTCGGAGGAGGAACCGGTGGTGAAACAGTGGCTGTCGGAGAAGGAGCCACGGTTGGAGTCTGTTGCGTGTTAGGAGCGGGCATGAAGCGTGACTGTTGTTGGGCTGAGAGGGGGATTTGTGGAGGGTTGTGGACTAGCCCAAAAGGGGGTGAGGGTAAGAGGTGGGCTGGAATCTGGCTAGGTGTTTGTGGAGACCTTGGGCCTAAATTGTGGGTAGGCCCAAAATGCAAGGATCCGAAGGTGACTGGAGGGTCAGGGTGCAGTTGAGGCCCAATTGATAGGTCAGGCCCAAATGGAAAATCCTTGGTCGTTGGGCCAATTGGTGAGACATGGCGCAGCTGAGGGTTTTCGCCACCACCAGTGGAATGATATAGCGGGGATCCGAAGGCAGCAAGACCAGAATTCGCCGGAGCTTTCTCAAAGACGGTTGACGGGCCAGAAATATGGGAAGCTGCGCTATTGCGGATGACGGCAGTAGGAGGCCCGACCAAATAGCCCGCGACGCGGTTGTTTGGAAAATTGGCCGTAAGTGGGGATAACTCCCCTTCTTCCAAAGCTTGGAGCTTAGATCTACCATCCACAAAATCAGACATCATTTTTTGAAACTCGGGCTGGGAGAGGAGTGTTTGTAAATTCGTCATGGTGACCGGAGATGCGGGTTGACTATTTGGGGAGGAGGTCGCGGCAAAGGGAGAAAGGGTGGCGTCATGGGGGAGAGGGGGAGCTGGGGGAAGAAGAAGAAAAAGGGAAGGATGGGTCCGGCGGCCAGACGGGCCGCCGGCGGCGGTGACGGGAAACGGCAGCGGATAGGCGGAGGAGATGGCCGGGGGAGAAAGGTGAGGAGGACGGTGGGAGGGGATAGGGTTTAGAGAGAGAAAGGTAGAGAGAGGTGAGAGCATTTGCTGTTAGTAGTTGCTAGATTAGTTCTTTGTAGTTGCTAGGTAAATTCTCTGTAGTTGCTAAGTTAGTTCTATGTAGTTGCTAAGTTAGTAGTTGCTAGGTTAGTTCTCTGGGTTGCTAGGTTAGTAGTAGCTATGTATGTTCTATGTAGTTGCCAGGTTAGTTGTTTGTAGTTGCTAGGTTAGTTGTCTGTAGTTGCTAAGAGATGTCCGCATTTTAAGAGC